TTAGCCGCAGTGGGCCCCCCTCCGTCCTCTCTCGAGACGGCGGGTCACGGGCGCTGCCGTCCCGGCAGGCATTTCTGCGCTCGCCTTTTCCCTCGCGCGCGCGGCAGGAAAGACGCACCGCCTGCCCGCGAGGGGCGACCAGGTAGCTTGAGGGCGTTGGAGGTTTTCCGGCGAGTTCCCAGCCCTCGGCGTCCCCTTCCCGCGCCGCTGGCCAGCTCGGCGTGCCTCCTCGAGCTTTCCTTCTTCAGGAGCGACCACGCTCGCGGAGACCTGCGAAGAAACTCGAGGGTCGGCAGCGAAGCTGGGACCACGCTTCGTCCCTCCGCCCGCGGGTTGCTCCTTTCGTTTTCCAGGTCACCCTTGGCGGTAGATCTTTGCCTGCAGTTGGGTTAACGCGACGGAGGTGGATCCCGATGACCACCGTGAAAGAGGGGCAAAGCGGAGCGGCGACGAGGAACGGGAAGCTCGGGGAAACCCGGCTCTGGCCCGGCCGCGGAGATATTTATAGCTGCAGGGGTTGGCGGGCGGTTTTTTTTTCCGGGAGAAGATGCAGCTCACGCGGACTAGCTCTTTTCCTTTCTGCAGCGAAGGACAGCGTTTGAGGTGTTGAAGCCGATCTATTTTTTGTATGTAAATATTAAGTGCCGTTGGTGAGCGATGCGCTCTGCACTACGGGGAAGTAATTCTGGAGGGAGGCGAAAAAAAAAAAAAAAAAGTAAAATGAAAAGAGATGGAGAAAAAGCTCAAGGCCAGTCTGGCAGGGGATCAAAACCCAACACCGCGCGAGGGCTACAGGGACCGGTTTCGGCACGTGCCTATAATCCCATTCCCAGCGAACGGACGCCAAAGTGCTTTAATGAGTCAGGTCCAAAGACTTTCCAAAAGAAGCCGGAAGAGCCAAGGCTCGAGATCAAGCAACTTCACATCTTTCGGAGCAGACACCAGTGAACTGCTCGGCAAGTGCTTATAATGATTTATATTTGAATGGGAATTGTACATTTATTTATTTTTCCAGACACCGTATTTTTAAACCACTAATGTTTTATAGTAGATTTTTTCCCTTCCCCTATTTAAAGAAGTATTTCCCCTGGAAAACGGTGAGGTTTTATGTTGGTAACGTTCTTTTAAGCAAAAAGATCAGGTAGGAAATGCAGCGATGAGCATCTTTGGCCTTAATACTTCCCTGAGCAGACTGTAGCCACAACTGGTAGACCAAAAAGAAAAAGCTACCCCGTTATTTCCTTCCTCCCGGCCCCTCTTCCCCTTCCTCTCTTTCTCCTCTTCTCTCCCCCCCCAAAATAGCTTTAACATGACACGCTGTACAGAGAGATTACTACTCTTACCTCTTGGTAAGACCGTCACAAACAGTTCAGATGTTCTCGCAGGAGACTTTTCTATTTCCGGATCCACGAGGAACGTGCAAACACCTTCGCACCGTTTATTTCACGCTCCCGGCGCCACGATCCACCCGACGGAAGTTTGTACTGTGACCATGAGCTGCGGCCGGAGACGTAAATCCATAAGAGGCTGCAAAAGGAGACCCTCGTTTCGGAGGCGGCTCTCCGGCGAGCCCTGCGCCCGCGCAACCGAGCTCGTACGCGCTGTAGAGCGGCATCTCTCACGGGGACAGGAGTCTGATTTACACTGGAATTTACTGAGGAACTGGATTGTAGAGATTATTCTTGCATTTTCCTACAACTATATTTTGAAAGCATCATGTATTTCTGTCAATAAACATTCTTATGGAAAAGATTTGTTTCTTGGCTGAGTTAAAAAGCGGGAAGTGGAGCTTTCAGAGGAGAGCTGTAACCACAAGTTACATAGCTGTTACAACTGGTTATTGTTTGGGCTTCTTTGGAAAGCCACCAGCACAGGCTTTGCATGGTCCTGTTAAGCGAGAACATAGAGAGACTTGGCCAAGATGGAGAAAAACCCATCCAGACCTTCGGAGGCATCCAGCATGTTTACTGTGCAGAGAGAAGCATGATTGCTAGCAGTGAAAATCCTGCCATAATGGAGAAGGCTATAAAACCACAGGGGTGGGATCCTCGGCTGACGTGGGCAAGGGTGGCCCCACCGCAGTCCGTTTGAACTAACGGCATCTTCACGGGATCCCAGAAGGTCCCGGCCACTGAGCACAAGCCATTCCCCCTCCTCCAACCTCGGCTGCCTTAGGAGCCTCCTTCCCCAGCTCCAGGCTCCGCAGGCCAGCTCAGCAGAGCCGAATTGGTTGCTTTTCTGACTCTACCTGGGGTGTTTTTCAGAGGCAGAGGCCAAAACACAGGTCTGGTCTCTGACACATGGGGACAGAGGCAATTTCCAGCATGATCCTGCTTTCCAGCTAGAGGCAGTTATCAAAAAACGTCTTTGTGAATGCTGCCTCAGCAGTGGAGTCCACCAGCGGTGGAGTCCACCTTCCTTGGAGAGCTCATTTCTTCCCCTAAGGTATGTCACAGGGACACCGGGCGCATACAGACAAAACCCAGGACACTGCTGCATAAGCAGCTCCCCACAGTGGCCGTCATGAATCACATCTGGGGGCACACAGTTTGCCCTGCACATCGCTATGCAAAACATCAGCAGGTTTGGATTTCACCTTGGAAGAGCAGCTCTGGAAGGTGGTAAGCTGTCAGCAGGCCAACACCTAGCCCCACACCTGAAACGCTGCTTTCAGTAAGCATCACACAAGTTAGTCCTAGTGGCAGGACACTCTTGTCAAACGGAGGTTGCCAGTGTCGAGCACGAAAAAATCCGTTATTGGAAGGTTTTGATACGGACAAGCCCTGGCTGAATTCAGGATTGGGCTGAAACTTGCTGCTCCAGGTGAACCGTCAAGTTTTTATAGCTATCTCAAAGCTGCTCATCCTCACACTGTGGTGGGTCACAGCACAAAGGCAGGTATCTAGCTTCAAGGGAGTCACTACTGAACACTGACGCCCCAACATAAGCGCCACGGGCAACCCACATGGTCCTCTCCAAGGTCAAGAGATGTTAAGGGTAGCCCCACATGGGTGACTGACTGTACATGGTCTGGACTCCTTTCCATCCTCACAGATAACCAGTCTCAACTGCTATGCACCGAGGTGCTTCACTCTAGATCTCCCTTTCGCCTGCATTGCTCTGCAGGGAATATCGAACGGGTGAGGGCACCTGCAGGATGGTGGCGGGCACACCCCTCCAAGGGGGACACCGGCAGAGCCAGAGAACGGCCGGATTCAAATCACACACGTGAAAAATTACAGCAGTATCAGCCGGCCAGAGGGCTCTCCACAGCCTTGTAATACCCTCCAGGCTGGAGGGTATGTTCTTGAGATCGATATGTGGGTACAGGTCCCCACGTGGAGGAGGGGGTCGAACCTAGCGGTGTTAAGCCAAAACACCCTGCAGAGGAGGGCCATCAAACAGCAGCAACAGCAGGATGAGCAGTAGCGTGGGCAGTTCAGCGTTGCCATTTCCCTTCAAGGGCCCAGAATATAGCATTTTGTTCCAGGTCGCATGGAGTAAGTTTCCACTTATGCAAGGAAAGAAAAAAATACATATATATATGCATTCGGTTTGGTTCAAATATTAAAAGCCAGTGGTACGCATCAGCCTATGTTCCAGCTCTGTGTTCTTTCCCAACAAAAAGTCTTAAAACATCGGATTTATGGGATACAGACACAGCTAATTGCTGATTTCATGGGGGCAAGATATATTCTCTCAGCTTTTCTGTAGTACAGAGGGACATGACAGACTCACCTCAGAAGGAACAAAGTTTGCTGTCCAGACATAACGCATCATAAATGTCACAATTCCTGCACTGCTTCTAAGAGACGGTCACAGTTTTGCTCCCATTCTCAGAAGCAAGTGATGTGAAAATGAACAGATATTGAATAAACACCCCTGCTAGCATATATATATTTTATTAAGAAAAAAAATGAACAAAATACATTCTCTCCTTATGTACATTACATACAATGTAACTACATTTGTAGATATTCCTCACACCACTCATTTATTTACAGAATGGGGCTTACATACCAACTCAGAAATTATAAAAAACGACGTATACCAAGGAAGTAAATTAACATTCCAGGCTGAAAAAAAGATAATCCGTTCAGCTGTAATAAAAGGGTGGGAAGGGCAATCACCACAGGCCAACGACGCCTGTAAATCGGACCACGTTTTACCACCACGGCACACAAACGCCCCGTGGACTCCACACAGGACCAGTCACTATTCTTCCTGCTAAATAAAACATTTATGCAGGTCACAGTGTTTGGCTCACAGAGGCTCCCCTCAGGTCCAAGACAAAAGAGGTCCATACCTCTTATTTCAGCTCTCCTCTGCTCAGAGGTCCAAGACAAATGACTGCAGCTCATGTGCCAAAAGGAACTCGGACAGACACCAAAGTCCGTGGAATTGCAGTAGAAATGCAGTTTCTTCCACTCAGATGTCAAAACAGAAAGAACGCCAAATTTGGGACAGGGAACACACTCAAAACTTCAAGCACTATACAGGGATAATCACCTCTTGGGGAGCACATGACAGCGTAGAGGATAAGAAAGATGAAGAACATCAGAAGTTCAGACAAACAAACCACCACACAGTACAGTGCTAAGGGAAGAGTCTACACAACAGCTCTTCTCAGAGTAGTAAACGACCTGAAAAGACGTAGCTATGCCTAGGTGAAGGTGCAAGTCCAGTCAGCACGCGTGATGTTTAATCCCATCCCTACCTCTGAGTGCCAATAAACTGGAGAAGCACAATAATGACGATCCCTTGCGCAAAGTGGTAAGGTTGTGGGAAACATAATTACAGCACACATTCGCCACCCGAACTACCTCCCATCTGCCTCTGTACAAAGCCAGAGCAGTTTCTTCAAGCAGTTTCTACAACCGCGTAGGTTCCAGTCACAGAAGAAGCTATCGGGATCCTGTCGAAACAATCAAAGCATCCACTAGAGACACCTTGCTTTAGAAGGCTCAAAGTACAATGTTCAAAGGGAAAAAATTCACCAGGATTCCCTGATGCTTCTAAAACGAGGCACATTGCACCTCAGGATCTTAATGTCCGAGATGCACCTGACCACCTTCCCCCAAGGTGCTGGTACGCTGCCTTCCATCACCTAAGAGTGACCCAATTGGCTTTAGTTGTCTGCCCCGAGGCAATCCGTTCTGCAAGGTTTGGGGCCTCCACGACTTAAGTCTCCCGTGAACACATCTGTTTGTATAATTAAGCTCTTTTCTCTGACTCAAGCCTCCTCAGCATCCCATTTCCAACCACAGGGAAGGCATAGCAGAAAAAGACAGCTTTGGTAAATTGCAACAGCTTCCGGGGGTTGTTTTGTTTTCCAACACCCAGACCAGTCGCTTCCAGAAGAGAAAATATTTCGCACATCCAAACATCAACTAGGGGGACAGAGGGAGAAAGGACAAGAACGATGAGGAAGAAAGAAAGGAAATACTATTATGCTTTCACTGCCGGTTTGCCTCTCCAACTACCACAGCAGACAGGCGGGAAAAATCCTGTTGGTTGTACAATAATTACCCTCCACGGTTAGAAAAAAAAAGTAAATGTCTTTATCCGATATAAGCTCTCCATTCCCCCCAAAATCTTGCTTTTGTCAAATTTTGCATGCAAAGCAATTAATTCGAAATGTCTCTGCACGGGCCACGCTGCTTGGGGAAGCAAAGCAGGCTGTCATCTTTTGACTAGGGCAAATTATTGCAGGATAAACAGACGTAGAAAGATCAGGTGATGTTCAGTCTAGACTCTTTTCTGTGAAGCGGTTGACTTGTAAATTGAGAGAGTACAGGTTTATAAAACTATTTTCTCCTTATGACAGCTGAGCTTTTCTGTCAAGACTAAAAAGAAAAATCTTCTTTCACTCTTAAAGTAGATTGATTATCCAATGAACAGGCCCTCTTTGCATGCTGCAGTACTTCTCTATTTAGCAAAACACCGGCAGCAATTCATTCAGCCCCTTGGGTGACTACATACTAAGTCAAGATATTTAAAAAGTGTGTTTTCTCATCACAGGCAAGAAAAACTTGTCCGTTGGTGCCTGGAAAGTTGGGAAGACTACAACCATTGGAGCCCCTGTTTTGGTCTAGCCTTCCCTCCACATTACGTAGTGACCACAGTTCCCTTAAGATTGACACTCTCAATGCCACTAGCAACTGTCATTTGAAATCTTGGAACATTTTTAGATTCTACGTCTTTTAAGGATTGCCAGTTCTGCTCTGACAGTTGATTATGCTGCACAGCCTTTAATATATTTTAATAGCTTTAAAACCAGTTGGCTTCTTTGCCATTGCAGCAGAGGAAGTGGGGGGGGAAAAAAAATCTTCAAGAAGTGTGCGCAACATCCTCAACACCTCCTTTTCATGCCTGTGTGGTGGGAAGGGCCAAGGCCCAAGGCAAAGCTCCAGGCCTTGAAAACATTGGTCTTGCATCAGTTCCATTTGAAATGGAGCTAGAGAATCCAGGTTGCATGAAGCAGTCAGCTCTTCATGGCAGAGCTGCTCAATGAGAGAGCCTTCAAAGTCATTCCACATAAGACACAGCGCATTTTAAACATATGCTCATATGACCAACCACCTCTTTCTTTCAAAGCCTGTATCTTCTCCTATTTCCTCTGTACTGCTACACTGTAGAAATAGATTAAACACCTCAGCTACTAGCTGTTTGTCTTCCCTGGTGAAAGATTTGGAATTATGAAATCAAGTGGTGGAAAATCAGGACAATGTGGATGAACTAGAAGGCAGGTATCATCATCTTCTGTCAAGCAAGTATTACACCCCTGGTGCTACACAAAATAGACCATGCTCAGACTCAGGAGGGAAGGCTTATTGCAGCCCCAAACCTTGGGTTCACAGATGGGCCCAACTAACCAGATGCACGCTGCAAAGCCTTGTGCTGACAGCACACCTTACTGATGCTAGAAATCAGCACCCACAGGCCCCCGCCCCTTCCTTAGGAACGGCCCTTGGGGAGGGCGACACAATTTGCAAAGATCCCCTCCTGACCCTTTCCAGGGCAGCACTAAGGAGTTCTGCAAGGAAGAGGCTAGAGTACAATGATCTGACAGAGAGAACCTGATGCCTCATAACCACCATCCAGCTCTAGTCTCCTTTGGTTCTTCAAAAAGATTTTCCATTAAGCTTAGGACATCTAAGCTTAGGACGTTCCTTAACTCTGAGCTACCGTAACCAATAAGCTAAAATTGAAAGGAGACACAAGGACTCAAATTTTTACAAGACATTTTTCAACTTCCAAACACAAAGGTACCAAATGGAAACGTAGCTAACCATTTTTTGCCATTTCCCCAAAAGAATCTAATCTAATGGCACAGTCCATTTCAACAGTAATAAATAGTCCCACAGGGAAAGAACAGGTCAGGGGGAACTGGGGAACATCCAGAGACCACGTTTTGCTCATCGTGCTAGACACCGTATGTGCTAGCAACAGATCTGCCTTTGAGACTAGTAGCAAAACCACAAATATAGCCTGGTAGAGCAAGTCTTGAACTCTTCTCTCACCTCGCTTTTTTCCAGGAATGAACTGCAATGTCACACTAGAGCTGCGTTCAGCCAACTGAATTCTGACAGCACTCAAATACTCACAGTCTCCAGTTTGTCAGCATAAGCTGTGCTGCCTTACAGCAAACACAGCTGGAAGCGAAGACAAACACATACCTGTGTCTCTGCCATGTCTAAATTAAGACTTCAGGGTACTGAAGTGATACACTGACAGCAGCTTAAGCAAGTCTGTGGCTGTAAATATTCAGAAGCAGAGCACTGAATTTGGGTCACAGCAGGTAAAAAAGTATTCGGAGCTCACCACATTGACATATTGAGTTCAAACATATGAAAGCAAAGGAGACAGCAGCGATATGTTTCTTTTAGGAACTGTGCTTGTGGAAGGTGCTGCCTTGCAAACCTCTAGACCTAACTGGAATTGTACGCAACCCCTCGTCCTTAAGCACTCCACAAACGTATGCCTACTAGCAGGAACGGTGACAATTTCCAGAGGGACTCTCTCAAGCGGTCACCACAGTCATTCTAAAATTGATTTTGGATCTTTGACCTACAGGTGGAGGCAGCTGGAGTCAGTTTGTCCAAGCACTGAACCACGTACTGTTATAATCTGTCCACTGCAGTAGACTTATTTTCTGCTCTGAGTTTTCATTATAATGGAAGCTTTCAGGAAAACAGGTTTTGCCTGTAACTCATTCCCCTAACTCGAACAAGTTTCCAGCAAAACCTTTTCCATGACAGGATATGACTAGAAGGTCTACCGCACCCATTAGCTGTTTATAAATACTAAAAAGCTTCTGGTTCCTTGTCTGATAGTATATTTATACTCGTTTTTCATCGGTACTTATGGCTTACGTACTACAACACTGCAAGTCATGTAGTTCTCCTTCAATTCTCCTTTCACAAAATAAGACCTGTCTCCAAATTACCATGTGTACTTACTATTACTGGCCAAATCAAGATCTTCAGAGTTTTTAGAATTCTTTCCTTAGTGAGAACATTAGTTTTATAACTGGGTCCACCTCTGTTTCTATCAAAACTACAGCTATACAACAGTACAAGCACTTCAGGAGATGTACATTAATTTTACTGTCAGGACTTTCTCTTGACAATAGCTAAACGTTCCTTAACTCTGAGCTACCGTAACTAATAAGCTAAAATTGAAAGGAGACACAAGGACTCAAATTTTTACAAGACATTTTTCAACTTCCAAACACAAAGGTACCAAATGGAAAAGCAGCTAACCATTTTTTGCCATTTCCCCAAAAGAAGCACAGCATCGCATCAACAAAATTACTGCATGTACCAAGATATAAAAGCATTCAGGTTTTAGGCTGCACGGAGCTAGTCCATACTAAAAGGTTCATTCAATAAAATCCATCAAAGTATTTCCTTCCCAATTCTGAAATACAGGCAGTACCAAGAGAATTAGCAGTGTTAGTGTAACAGGTACCTGCTACCTTTCTGTATTTAAAACAAGCAACATTAACACTAATTCTGGATAGGAGTTTTTTTTATTACAATAAGAGAAGTATATAAGACGCAATTTTTTTTCCCGCCTCTTCCACAACACTGCTCAGTTTACTACTCATTGCCTGTAGCACCCACAAGTGCAAGTTTGCAGGGCAGGGCAGGATTGGTGTATGACTTTGTGACAAAGAAAACTCCCTTCTAAGAATTTGCACATCAGGAAAGTAATTAAAAAATCAGCTCTTCCACAAAGCCCCTAAGGAAAACACTGGTCCATAAGTTATTCTGTTTCGGAAGGTGACTATTCTGGAAGAAAAAAGAGCCAACGGAGACTGCTACACGTGCGGTTTACGACACGCCAAGCTATGGTGATCCTTTGCTACTAGTCCCATGCCTCTAACAAGATGCCACCCTCCTGGAAAATACGGGTTTCACATCCATTTGATAACAAACTCCTCAAGCATTACAACTTTCAGGCTGAGTTATAATAATTAGTGACCAAAAGGATTCAGCAATCCAAATGAACCTTTCAAGTCTGTCACTGTCCTTATTCCAGTACAATCTTCATACAAATGAAGCTTTAATTGATTCTTTAGGAAAGTTTCCTAATTTCACTCTTGCTGCTACCAAATAAGGCAAATACCCCAGAGACAAAGGCGTTCCAATTGTGTCTTCACAGATGAATTTTTCAAAATGAGTACGTGACTCTGCCAATCAGTCCACCAGCAGGAACAAACAGCTTGACCCAAGAGCTAACTTGCATCCGTGGGCACCCAGAGCAATCACAGGGAAACAGAACCAAAACCCAGTTAACATTTTTGAGGCAAAGTTCTCATTCCCCACTATACTCAGCAAGAGGAAGAGACCTATAACTTGCATTACAAACGCGTCTTTACAAGAGCCAGAACAGACTAAAAAAACAACTAATTTCAATAAGCACTTTGCAACACTATTCAGCTCTCCCCAGGAGTGACACTACCAAAAGAAATCCTCCAAGAAAAGAGCAAGGCAGTGGCTAGTCTTCTCATTTGTAACAACATCTAAGTAGATCCTTCTGCCATCTGACACTGAAACAACATAAGTCATGTCACCATAGCAGTACTTGCTCACAGAAATAATTTTGGAAGAACTCTTAAGGATCTCCGCCTCTGACCACTATGAGGCGTTGCACAAGAAAAACGTTAAGAGAGTCACTTAATTCTGCCTAATCCAAGAGACTGAAAATCAAATCTGAAGGGCTTGATTTCTCAAGGAAGGTCTGTCACTTCATGGGAACAACTTTGCATAAAGAATACTTTCAAGTTTTCCAAAAGGCTGATCTACTGATCAGAACCATAGTGTAAAGACAACTACTCTGAAGGCTAGTGTCAGTGAAGATCAACTCAATCTCAAAAGAATTTTTAAAAAGCTGAATGAGGATCTAAGTCTTGTTACGTCTCTACGAAATTTATCCCATCCCAGCTTCCTACAGCTTTATAAAACATACAACCTTGTAATTTTGGCTTTAAAGACCCCCCCCGTCATAATAAACCAGTACCTATTTGACAAGTAGCGATGCTTTCTTTTACAGTGCCTTATTTACAAGCTAATGTACTACTTAGAGATAAACTACTGCAGTGCAATGATTATGCAGTAATAAACTGATACAGAGGGTGCCCTGCAAATATAATACACATTAGTCATCTTTTAAGCTAAGAAAGTAGACTCTGCTACAGTTTCCAAGCCATAAGGTGAGGTTCTAATACTTCTCAGGTATAGCCTGTGTATTTATAACATCGCATGCACTGTGCTATGAACCATTTTCAAGTGGCTGTTTTCAGATCAAGTGTATTTCTTTTCTGCTTGTACTTCAGCATTTCCATAATGCTAATATCTAATACATTCCTAGAATATCACCAATATGTTCAAATCTGCATGTAAATAAATTCAGCACACAGTCCCTGTAACAGCTTGTTAATGGCTAATTTTAAAAGGAAATTTATACCTGACTGCTCAGGATTTTTAATTGTGTGTGGCTTTTTGTTTTGTTTAATCAGATAGTATCGTACATACCAAGGTAAAGAAAAGTTATTTAATTCTGACCCCTAGCTTTAAGGATACGGAACGAATGAATACCCTTGGCAAACCCACAAGAAGTCTTAGCTTTAGATTAACCTCTCTGGCCACAGGGTGCCTCTGCTGTTCAACAAATACTCTGAAGCAGAGCAAATAGCAGCTTCTGCTGGTTAATCACCAGTTTTAACCCATAAACCGTACTGGGGTGAGCCGAAATCGATTCGGCTCAGGATGAAGGTAGGTCAATATTTGGTCATCCCAAAGTGCTCTCATTAGCTAGGAATCACTGCTACAGAAGTAATGTTTGCCTAGCTCTTATATAAGCAATTCAGCTACACCATGCTACAAAATCTGGACCAGGCTGCCAAGCCCTGCATGCACACCTAATCTGGAGAACAACGTATTTTGATCCAATTTCTAAAATGCGAACCAAGCCTAAAGTGATGCGCTGCTCAGTAGCAACACTATTCACAAAGCATTTGGTATTCCTAAACTTCCACTATTTTCCACTGCTTCTCAAGCTAGCTGTTTCTTTTGGTTACAGCCTCACATAGTTGTAAGAAATAAAACTTTACAAAGAGCTTAGCTGGTTGATTGGAAAGCTGCTGCAAAAAAAGAAATAATTAAAAAAAAAAAAAAAGCCGATCATCTGACTGAAGTTGAAAAAGAGTACACAGGTCGTGAGAGCGAGTGATAAGGGGGCACAACAGTACTGTAAGTAGGAGCGGGAGGACAGCAGTATTTTGGTTGGTTGTATCTAAAGTGCTCAGTTCGATCTCAGTGGAAACACCACCTCAGCTGGAATACTCCTAAGGTGAGCACCACCAATATCTACATTCATATCATAAGCTCTGCTTTAACTAGTTAACAGAGTGTCAAAGGTAGCACACCATAAAACCTAGCAGTGACGTAAAACTTTCCATGTCCCTGGAAAAAAAAAAATGTTTCAAAGAAACAATTCAATCAGATTTCAGGTACTGCACTATGTACTCAACAGAGTCTTCCGCAGACAATGGATTTGCTATCCACTGAAGTATACAATTTCTAAACAGTATTAAGTTACAGGTTACTTAGAAGCACTGTATTTGTATAGTCCTCCCTGAAGAAAAAGCAAAGCCCAACCTCTAACATATTGTTCCTCTCTAGGTGATTAAATGCTAATAATAGTTTTTAAATTTATTTTCAATGTACTAAAACTATATATGTTGCACAGAGAACATGATAAAAAGGGAAGGCAATGGAATCGAAGCAAGCAGACACTCAAGCTCTGAGAAAGACACTTCACTACCTCTTTATTTAAAGAGTCCAAATAACCTTTGCACACACAAGACTTCCATCGTGTTCAACAGGATTTGTGTAGCCATAGTGAGTGCAACAATGATACCCCCTACCAGCACAAATGTTTCTGGACATAAAGCTTCCCAGTTTGATATAAATATTTACATCAAGTCAGTTTGAATGCTTACTGACACTGAACGCAAACAGTTGCTAATGCTGAGTGCTCGTATCCTTCAACTCCTCTTCACAGTGCAGCACCAAGCCCTTACCTTCTTTGTAAAGGAGGTTTTCAGAAAGGAAGAATATTTTTTCTATACATATGCATCAGCTTGCTTTTAAAGAGGTTTATGCTAAAAAGGCCTCCCTCATATCTAGAGCTACGTCTAAAACGCATTTAAAAAAGTGAATGAGCTGCACTACAGAGAAGGGAGACAAGCTGTTTGGAACAATCCTCTTCACGTGTACACGTTGACAAACGCACACGCAGAAGCATACACGTATGCAAACGAAGACAATGTGCTTCAGAAATTGTACACTCAACCTGGAGTCAGGTGGCAGAGGTTCAGCGCGTGCACGGAAGACCCAGGTCTGCAAAACTCTGCAAGGACCCGTGAGGTTTCGCGCCAGAAGAGCACAGCAGTGAAACGGAACAATCCCCGAGAAGGGGCCTGTGCAGACAACTCCTGTGCTCCCGTTTTCTAAAGGCTTCTCCGAGGTCTCCACTTGACTATCAGCTCTAAGCAGAAGGCTGCAGAGAGTGCAAGCTAGGCATTTAGGTCTGGACTGGATATCAAATGCAATTATACACCACTGTCAGCCCAGTTCTCAGCCTAGAGGACGGAAAGTCTTGTAACATATGCTCCCCTTCACATGACACACTGCGATTACAAGACTCAAGGCGTACGTTATTATTACCTCAACACACGCCAGGGTCCTGCTGCCAAGTTATTCAGCTGCTGAGGATGAAGTTGTAGGATAAAGCAATATATCATGACTAACTACAAATGAGAAAGGAACCACCCCCCTTTCCCAAGAAACCCAAAATAAAAACCTATCATCTTTAATTCCAGACAACCCACGAATCTCAGCGTTTTCCTTTACAGGCAAAAACGATCACGGTATGATTGCTTTTTATTCTCTCTTCCCCCCTCCCCGCCACCCCTACTTGTTTCTTACGTTTGCCAACTCAAAAGTCAAAGTCAGAAAAAATATATATATATTTAGTCGGAAGTGTGTCAGTTACATTTTATTAACCTACTCCAAGGGAAAAGCTTCAGGGATTCACCATACAAGTATAAAACCCCTTTCAAACACCTAGGGGTTACTATATTACTTCATCCCAGCAGTCAATCAACGCAGTAAAAAAATTAAAATACTGAAAATGGATGCTTTTCCCCTCTTCCACGTGTCCAGTGATTGCTCTGTTACAGCGTGATGAGGTCTACGAGGTTGCCTTTGGGAGGGGTCATGTTGTCTGGAAAGAAGTTGACTAGTGTATCAAACAGTTGAGTTCTCTGCGCGTAAGTGTGATCGACATCTGAAAAGCCTGCGGGAGGGAGAAAAGGGAAAGCAAGTCAGCGCTCGTTACTTTAAATGCTCACTTTAGCTGTGGAACATGCCAGTTACCCACCCTGAATGGACGTTAGGTTTTTGCCATTCCTGCCTCAACCCGTTTTCTCAGAAACCCGTTCTCGAACCAAGTTATTAGCGGTTCTTTGTTCCCAGCTATAGCCCAGCTCCCACCCACAGCATCACACTCACAAGGCTGCCAGCTCCCCATCCCACTACAACACACATATACAGGCGGAGTTCGTGTCCCCTCAAGCCAACGCTGCAATCACAATGCTGCAAAAAGGAGCGAGGAAATAGCTGTCAAGCTCACTGATGGTCCTGAAGAAACAGGGAAAGCGATAATCCTAGAGATTGCTCTGATGACCAAGTAAATACTATCTGAGAAGCTATTAGGTGCCTGATTTCTTCCACCCTAAGGCTTTCTTCCTTATCTTACTATCTTAACCAAAATCAGTATTTCCTGCAGGTTGGTTGGTTGCTTGTTTTTAAGACAAGCTCTGGTGATTGCAGGAGACTGAAGTGGCAGAGTTGCCATTTAATCACTAGACTGCACCAAGGATCCACGCTGAATCTTGGTCCGGGGATCCTTGCAAACTTGTTTTGCGAAGTGCCTCCTCCTGACAGGGGTTGGATTTAGCCTACCACAGAAGCACGCGTATCCAGATCCCCATACTTAAACTTTCAACAGCCAGGAACAATAGAACGGGCATACAAGGATTTCCTCTGCTTTGTTTTATTTATACTCCTGGTATCTCAAAGGAATTATTTTTTTCACTGAGCGAATTCAGACTGCAATTAATCAAAGTCAACCAAGTTAATCAAAGCAAGGAGGACTTGGGGGTTTTTTGCTTTATTTTAGAAGCAATACAATGCATGTATCCTCCCATCTGTAAAGCCAATCTGTAAATACATCTTAATAGATTTCCTTAAAATGATACATCATTTTGAATTCAATCGTTGTCTACAGATACCGTTAAAGTGTATTTAGGCTGTCAAATCAATGTTTAAAATATTAAAAGCTGGAACACTTTACTGCATAAAATAAATGGATGAAACTGATCTATTAAAACAAAAGTGAAATGCTAAGTATCTTTGACAGGATGGGTATCCTCTTTTCAGGAAGATCTGTTCTGTGGCTACAATAAGAGGACAACATAACAGTAAGCCAGGCCTTAACTGTTACTGTGGTAAAACTAATTAATCTTAGAATATTTAAAGCTAGGGAAAAGACCTAACTCTCAAACTGAGTTTGCTAACTTTGGGAAAATAAATAAATAAATAAATGTTACAGCATCAGCTGGGTAACCTATTCTAAACTACACAAGCTCAGCAGCATAGGGAGCTCATCCAGTAGGGCAGAGAGTGCAATGGGTTTTTTCCTTCCGTCAGTTTGTAAATCAGAAATTACTTTTGTCGAAGACAGAAATCATCATGCTCTTCCTAGGAGTTCAGCAACTTGCTGGCAAGGCAACACATTATTACAAGAATACAAGTTATGCCTATAACCTTCCTAAAGATTGCTCAGGATTTAGAATTTGAACTATTTAAGAGCGTTAACTAGATATAATATTGAAATAAATAATGGGTTTGGCTCAGTTCTACTGTTTTCAAACCTACACACCACTGTTTTCTTCATCGCTCTTGACGTTCTGCCCAAAGAACTAGCTGTGCAAAGAACAGAGTGAACCAAACTACTCCAGGAATTGCAGTTATCACAGCAAACAGATCTGTAACCATGCTGTGAGACTCCAAAGTGACGTGACAGAAGTTATTTTATTCTAACCAAAGCTTCTGTTTATTTGGATAACAGTAAAGCATCAGATGTAATAAGAGATAAATCCATGTCTCTCTGGATCATTTTGTAAAACCACTGGTGACAGATGTTTTAAATGTGGGCCTTGAGGCGTTGGATATCGGTCGTTGTAAATACTCTCTCAAATGTCTGATCTAGTGGCCCTTTGCATATTTAAACTGAAAAAAGACCCAGAACATTCATGTGAGCTGTAAGCTTTTTATGTCAAAAAGCCCAGCAGAAACTAACAGTAATGATTCTTACTACAGTGAATGTATTCAGTATACTTCTTCTGATACATAATACTCACCAAGAGTGGTGAAATCTGAGCCAGACTTAAACAGAGCTGAGGCAAGAAGCTGGAACTGCAGAACGGGACATTGAGGGACAAAGAAAAAAAAGTGTGTTATTAACTGCACAGGGAAAGGGGGGAAAAAAAGGAAAAAAAAGCTTCTTAGAAGTCCAAATAGCTTTAGAGTTGCTGGGTTTACTTAGCACCGTCTTTAGAACTACTGCACCAGGGGTACGATAACAGCAGCAGACACTTTCATACAAGCAATACAATTTGCCAGCGGGGCAGAGCAAGTTGGACGTTTTCTCCTAGGGTTCTGGGAGCAATCTGGGCCCATGCAACAGCAGGCCCTTGGCTGAGCCCCACAACTTTTTCAGCAGGTATCATAGCAAAGTAAGGTGAACCTTCCTCCACGCAACAACATTCCTAGGGGCAAACGTGGTACAGTCTCAGTGAGCGTTACAACAGGAAAACTGCTCCTGGGGAGCAGGAACTTCTTGAGCACAGGGAGAAAAAACAAAAAAAAAGCTTTAAATGGTAACCTTTTTCTACTGCCAGAACACTTCATCTCACAAGCTCGTATGGGGCAAGGACTTGATGGAAAAAAGGTCACACACACCCAAACCCGCACCAAAAAACACCGCACACCCACAACGGAGCAAGTTCTTTGTTTGGGAAGATTAGAGAGTTTTAAGTAACACATTGGCAGCACTAGCCTCCCTTAACATCTTACTGATAGACGGTGAATGCAGTATCTTTCTGCACCCCACCCCGGCTGCTGTTTTCAGTTACTCATGCTTCAGCAAAGCTTAGTGCTTTTCGGTGTTTCCTCAAGGAGTTAGCCAACCCCTTACAGGCTCCTAATCTTTTGTCTCCTGTCTGTCTGTGTGTCTCTGCAGCACACTGCGCTCAGCCCAAAGGAGAGAGGGGAAAGAAAGAAAAAAGAAAAGAAAAAACATAGAAGGGAAGCAAATACGTTAAGGGAATTGGGTGTGCGTTGGGGGGAAGAACAGCCAGGAATCACATTTCTACCAGCTTAACTTCAATTTCCAGGAAAAAAAAAAAAAAGGGAACGTAAGCAACGTGCAGGCATCGAGGAGTCAAGAAGGTGACAAATAGCAGCCAATATAGAGTTGGCAACAAACTGTATCACATCAATCTGATTTCTTCTACAACATGGCAGCAGGCCCTAGGGATGGGAACATCAGCAATAGATATTATCCATCTTGGCTTGCATGGGACTTTGGATGCTTTTGTGCGATATTTCCAAGGCAAATCAGTGAAGCATCACCTCGATGAAGGTAACAGGGAACGGCAAATAGGTCAAATATCTTTACTGAGGGTAGCCATCACTGGTTTAACATCAAAACGAAACCATGAATCACAGGAGGAACGCTCCTCAAACGCGTGCTTTAGGTTCAGTCATTCTGTGTTTTCAGTGGAAACCGGCCCGAGAGAACGGGATACATCCATTCAGTTCACAAGCCTTACACCAAGTTCAGACACACTGCCAGCATGTTAGCAGACAGGCTTCAGACTGCTTTTTCATTTCATCCACATCATAACGATGAGACAACGTGCAGTTTTAGAGGGCCAGGTACGAAACAAGATACTCCAAAAGAAATGATCAGCTGCACAAAACGGTACAGGGTTACATGGGCTCTGTGAAAACGTACTGAGGAGCCATAACGGATCGACAGCATCCTACGGCAAAAAGTGACAAACACAAATTAAAAGGAGTAGGTCTAAAAATAAATCTGGTACTCCTACTGCTACCGAGACTCGTAAGGTCTCATCTACAGTAATATAGTCATTTTTTGATGCCTTGCATTAATTAGCAACAGAAGAAAGCACTAAAAAAATAAAGTGGTCTGAAAATCAAGCTCTATACAGAGATTCTGATGGCGTTAGGGCTGTGTAACCTCCACAGAAGAATGCCCAAGGAGTAAAACGGCAAAAAGTCACAAATGGAAAAGTCTAGTACAAGAAGGTAAATCTACAATCAGGCAGTGCAAGAACTCGCAAAAATACTTCAGCAAGATTAATTTCGAGATGACATTAAGAAAGAAAAAAAAGACCATCTGAAATACAGATTGTAGCATGCTGGAATAAGTTTGCAGATTTTCGTGGAAGTTATCACTGGAGGCATTTAAGAACAGGCTAGAAAGACATAGCATTGACATGCTGGAAAATAGAGGGGAGAAGTTGATTAAATAACCCTTTGAGTGAGACGACTGCTTATATGAAATTAAAAGGCACTGCAATGCTTCACATGTATCTCACTGCTACCGTAAGTTATAAGAGCTGCTTGGCTCCGATTCAGTAACGTACTTAAACGGATGTCTAGCTTAAATAGCTCAAAAAGCCCCAATAAAACCAGTGGCTAAATCTGTGCTGGTTCTGAGGGCAAGTGCCGCGTCCTGGCCATCGTCGCCTTGCACGCAGTTGCCTTGCAAGCCTGCTGCAACCTAAAGCCAGCTACGGCCAGACCAAACGGGTGCCACATGCTTTGAGGGGTTTCCCTCCTTCCCCAGCAACGTCTGCAGCCATCCTTGCAGACTGCACGAGTAGAAAGCAAACCGCGCTTGAAACTGGGCCTCAGGAGACCATGCTCCAAGAGATCACATTGGCTGAACCCAGTTAGCAACCGAGACCCAAATCGGTCGGAAGGACCGTATGCCAAGTATTCTGGTCTCATCTGCATTAAGCACAACTAATTTCCACTGCTATGAGCTTTTTCCTAGCTTCCTCCTCAGCCTTTGCAGAGGAGCATCCTGTCTCCTTCACTGATGCAATACAGCTCAGTTAACCTTGAGCTTTTTTTTTTTTTTTTTTTTAAAGTGGTATTTTATGTACCATATCACATTTTAAAACCACTTTCTGATAGAAAAGTGCGTAAGTTCAGAACATCAATTACGGACAGCAGTCGCACTTAAACCAGCCTGTTCAGCGTTTACATTTTGATACCATCTAACCCTATGATATTCCCCCAAAGGACCCTCACTTTTTCCAGTGCATAGGACAGTTACTCTTCACTGAAAACCCTCTCACTCTTCACTCTCATACACACCGTTTAGCATATGCCTAATGCTATATTTACTTCATGCAGTCCACATAAGGGGGAATTAATTTCTTCATTAGTTCTTCTATTGTATTTATTGCTATCATATCACAGTATTTCAGACACTGACTAATTTTTGGATCCCCTATTTGACACTACCAGAATCTGGATTTTTCAAAATGCTCGATCTTATAAAGCTTCTTTTGAATTCAGTTACAGTCAAAAGAGCAAAGCCCCCCTGCAACCCACATGTTAGATCTCCCATCAGGCACCAAAATGAAAGACCCAATTAACGACCATCTCAAAAAAGTGATTTGCTTAGCATTGCAGAGCAACACAGTTACAGAGGCAGGAACAGAATTTATTATCCATCAGAAGCATCCAACTACTTGAATCATGACACCACCCATTTTCTTCTAACAATCCCCTTTGGCTCACTGTCTTCACCCATTTTCAATTAAACTTGAATGCAAAAGACAAGTTTTCTTCATTACAGTTAACTTCTTCCTCAGAGACCCAACCCACCTTCCAAACTGAGACAGGGGTTCTTTAGAAATAAACACAACTGAATTAACTAAGAAAAGGCTCATCAACCACGTTCAGATAGAGGCCAAATGGGTATACGTGCATGGGTAACGTTAACTCTGGTATTTTCCAACTTTTGCCTGTCATGCATTCAACACTATTGTTCTTCCAAAGGCTGTGCATCCTTGTCTAGGCTTTCAACTAAAGAAAAAAAAAATACTGTGTAGCATCACACTCAAACTTGCACAGGTTATTTGCTACATGTCTTTTCCACCTGTGCAAATGAAACAGTTAACGCTAAAGGGGAACGAGTAACTCCTGCTTGGGGCACCTAGTAGTTTGTACGAACCAGGGATAACTACTCCTCCCGTAACGTTCGCAGGCTGTGAGCGCTCAGATTTTAGCACAAACCGGTCTCCCAGCTTCGACCAGTTCTATTGGGATGGTGCCTTGTGGTGCAGTCGTGAGGAGGCAATCAGAGGCTCAAATTTTTTGAGGATGGAGCCTCAGGTTTCAGTAGCTGAAGTCTGAACGCTGCTTTTTCAAAGGCTCATTGAGCAGAGATTTCGGAGCCATGCAGCACTCAAAATGCTGAGGCATTACAGAGAATCACAGCAGGACATGAAGAAAAGAAGCATGCTTCTCTTGCCTTGTTCCTAGAATTATATTTCTTATTTAGACTTATATTTTCCCAGAAATTTCAGTCTAATGCAGACCCAAACACCACATTTGGGCTCAACTGGCTTTATCTGGCAAGTTTGTTAGAGAAAAGGTCTAAGAACGGAAAACATGAAGTAGCCTTGAAGAGAGGCCTCGAGTCCCAGACTACAAGCTAGTTAATCCTAGAGTTGGCCTCCAGGTTCCTGCTCCTTTCTCCTACCATCCTCCAAGAAAAACAGATTGCAAGTTGTACTTCTACTTTGGATCCATTTTAGGGCAAGCACAGGACTCAGCGCAAGTCCTCTCTTTGCCACTAGGTACATTTCAGCCTCACCGTACGAAATTATCTCATCTCCTTTCCTTGGGGATTTGTCACCTTTTGTATCTTCTTGTTTTTTTTCCCCTAGAGCCTGCTAAAGAAACACAAACATTCCAGGTACGATCATGCAAGTGTTCAAGGAACAAAACCTTTAGCTTTGTTTGTGACCCACTCACGTTCTCATGCTTTTACAGCATCTGTTTTTTCCTGACATAAGTACCAGACTTGGAATTCACTCTGATTTGCTATTTTGATCACCCTTATCGTTAAAAGTCTCTCCTTCCAAACTACCACCAAATGCATATCTGTGTATGAGACAGAAAAGCATGCATGCCAGCAGAATTTTTTTCCAGCTAGCAACTACAAAAGTCAGTCTTTAATATAACTTATCTCTCCATGAACCAGGATGCATGGGTGGACTTCCATTTGCTCTGCAGATCAAGCCTCCTCACACACGCGTTAGACCTATTAATCTCTAGCCAGTAAAAAGACTCACTGATCTGAAAATACTGAACTCCCAGAAGAGGTTTAAGTGATTTCAAACAGAATCCTAATTTAAGAGAACTAGATCTGCATTTGCAGGCAACAGCAGAGCCAGAGTTGGCATACAGACTGTGGCTACTAAAACAAGCATCCGTGAGATAGCTGTTGCTTGCAGGCATCTACAATTTCACTCTAGAATAATTAAAAAAAGGAAATGAAACTATAATCCTATAAACACCACTAGGATTCACAACAAAGGAACAAAAATCTGGAGGTATGTTCCTACTGTCAATCATTCATGCTACTTTAAACAAAATTAGTTACTAACGCCAAAGTAACTTTCGAGAACAGTCTGTTTATTTTCTTTGGCATTCAGCTCAAAACAGCTGAGGAGACTTGCCTAACAAAGTTAAAAGTAAAGAAATTATTCCTATTATAAAGCAAGCAAGCTTTACGCCACAGTGAAATTCTGCAAAGCATGTTTCCTGCAGAAACATACGATAATTCACTACACCTCAACCTATAAAACATGAAACCATATAGGGCAGTCCCTAATCACCCTAAGAGAACTGTAACAAAGTCAGGGACAAATCCATACAGCTTGGTCCTTTCCAAATTTAACAGTTGCCCAGAGAGAAAGACAAACAGGCAGAAGGAAACTGATTCTCTTAAGACATGTCACACTACAAAGCCTTGCAATGTTGGACGACTGTAGCTTGCACCGAGCAAACCAATCAAGATATACAGCCCTGGATATTAATTAAGACTACCCCGACTGCAAATAAAGACGGACGATGCAGGTGCCTGTGCAGAGGCGCACAATTAAATTGGTGCTTGAAATCTGATATGGAATCAAAAAAGCCTGCGTCAGTCCTTTGGAAAGCACAAGAGCTATTTGAAGATGTAACGCCAGAGCAAAAAGCCAACTCAATGTGATAACCGGAAGGTAAATTGACGTCAACTGGAAATACACCCAGTCTGTCAGTACCAGCGCAGTAGATGGCTTCATGCCAGAGAACTAGCAGCTCTGTTCCACTGTAAAAAGCTTGGAAAGTTAAAACTCTGACCAGAACACTGGGGGGGGGGGGGGGGAAAAAAACACAAAAAATAAAAATCTCAACACAAAAACGAAAAAAATACAAAAAAAACCCACCCCAAAATCACCCATTCAAAAAATGTTGAACGATTTTAGGAGACCACTGGAACTGAAGCTGCAATTCTGCTAAGCAGTACACGCTTGCTGATCTGGCAGTCAAGCAGGAAAAGATAGAAGCTAATGATCTTTGCCAAGATCAGGCACTAGGCCTACAGAGAAACGATGCGTAACACAGTCAGTCACTCCTTTGGTTTGAGCCACCTAGCTCATAGATCATAAAAGTGAACGCAGAACATAAGTACCCTCTGTGAAAGAGGGTACTTTCCCCCATCGCCTTCAATTATTGTTTTTCTATTCTGTGTAACAGAGCTAGTACTTTTCCCCTAAACCTGAGAAGCTCAAGCAGTCAGGTAAATTCCTCATTCTTATAAGGCAGACAAGTTAAATACCATGCACTGAAGTGGGAATATCAGGTGTCATAACACATTAAAGGATCCGCTATGCCAGACAGGCACAATATAAAACCTTTAGGGTAATTTCTTTGGGCTACCGGTGACAGCAGGTAGCATGAACCGGTTCAGCTTTAGCCAGAAAGCAAACAGGCGAGGAGCTTGCCGATCACGGCGTGCACGCTTTCTGATCAGGCCGTCAAGAGGCACAGCTGGCTAAGCGATACAGACCTCTTTAGGAATAGCTGGGCAAAGACACGGCATGGCACGATGGGGCTACCCGAACACAGGCATGACAAGGAGAGGACGGCAAAGCCGAGAACACAGGACACATGTTATAGGGCGTCGGGGAGGACGAGGGGAGGAAGAGAGCATCAGAATGGTTATTACGTTAGGTTCATACAGGAAGAAGAAAGTGGTAAGACTGGGCCTAACTGGACTGAGCACCCCGGATGTATCCCATTGCTTCTCTTCTCTCCGCTAGAAATGGCTAGAAGAGATGTGAAGATACTTCAAGAGGGTCAGTTTCAGTGAGAAACTATCTAACAGAAAACTTACTGAGAAAGCACTCAATTTAAATGTTTTGTTGGACCACAGAAGCTCATAAAGACTAAGCACAATTTATGACAGTCAAATGTCATAAATGATCAATTCCAAGATACTAATAAGAGTAAACGTTTTTCTTAATTTCTGCAACACTTCAATTCTATGCTGTGCAAATGCAAGAAGGATATTCCCATTCACACACACACAAAATCTGTATCACGGTAAATTCTCTCTCTGTAGTAATGAGTTGAAGCTGTAAGATTGAGTGATTTAATCCAGAGACGCAGCACAGACTAAGTGTCTATTCTCCTGCTGCCAATTTTACAAAAGCAATTGTCAAAAGACTTCAGAAGTCAGTAACAGAAGAGCAGCGTCAGAACCATCCTCTCTCCTCCTCCTCCTCCTCTACCTGACTAGTGCTGAATGCTTGTACAGCTAACTGGCTGCCTGAACTTGTGTGTGCAAATTAATGGCAAAGTAAAAATCAACGACCCTATCGGACACTTTACGCTATCTCTTTAATCCTTTTCGTAAAGTGACACGTATTGCAGTAATGGAATCAAAACAGGAAACAGGAACAAATTCCTGGAACGAACCAAAGAACATGCCCACTGGACAATATTCAAAAGGCAGAGGAAATAAAGAGTTTTAAGGTTAGCAGGCAATGTATATATACAATCTTCTTCCAAAAATACATATAATCTAGAGAAAAGGTCCTTGCCTCTCCCAGAGCTATTTAATATTGACAAGCCAAGCGTAACGCGAATGAGAGTTTTCATTGACTTTCTACCGCACAATCAACCACAGACTCATGACATTTAAGAGAGTTTACATTTCAATTAAAGCTCCCAAAATACACAACAGTACGTTGGAATTAAAACAAAGGCCTAGTCTTCACTAGTGTGAGTACAAAAGCTATTTTATCTGGAACTGCAGTTGTAAAATCACTGTTTGTAAAGTAGTATGATCTTCAATCTGAAGAAAATATATGATAGTGTCATGCATTGGTAGAGATTTTTCAAACCGAATAAAAATAAGATTTAAGATGCTTAAAATTCGTGCTAAAACTTCCAGATGAGACCAGGATTTACATTTCTTTCTTAACTAAAAAAAGATCAACGTTTTCATCCTTACCTCTTTCGTCTCCTCAGGGTCCGAGTGATCCACAGTTACATACAAATCATTCTGTAGGTACTTCAGTGCACTAAGGGGGTCAGTTTGAGCTTTTTCTTCAAATCTGCAGAGAGACAGATAATTCGAGTGCAACTATTTCCCTCCTTACTAAATACAACCCCCTCAACACAGAGCAAAACCTATCTTACAAAAATTTCAGCCAAATATTTCCAAATAGAAACATGTTCATGGCAGCTCAGCCTCATTTTTGCTACAGCATGTGCTTTCAGGCCAGACTGAAATATTAAGAGTTTCTGTTGTTGTTGGGGGGTTGGGGGGGGGGGAGCTGCAAAAGCAAAATATTATGCTCCTTTTATTAAAGCTGCTTGAAAGGATATGTGTTATGAAGTTACTATGCATGGATCTAAAGCATTTAGCACAGGTTTCTCCCCACCACGCACAAGGAGGAAGGTATGAGAAGCACCCCCAGGTCTAACAGTTCAGACACAGACAGGCCTTCAGCATTTCAGCCCCTGGGACACTCACGTTCCTACGCAGAAGGGTAACTGAAAGGGAAGGAATGGAGAACAACCCCCCTTCTGCCTGAGAAGCTATGGAGGTGAAAAACTCCAAATCCAATGAATGCTGCACCTCAGCACCTCACCTCTGGAAAGAGCACATATATGTAAAAAATGGATATCCATAACCATCATTCTTTCCTCACTTTCTTTTAATAAAGGGAAGCAGTAACCTCTGTGAGCTCTCTGAAGAAATATACGTATCCATCTACTCTCAGAAAAAGATTTTGGGCTCAATATCCTAGTGAAGCATGTCTGCTCACCGAGAGCACAGAGCTGGCGCCTAGGAAGTGGCAAGGTTTAAAATTAGACGCCCCCCCCAC